ACACCCACATTACTTTGGCAAGGACTCTTAAGTAGTAGTATTTGCTGTTATTCTTTCTAAAATATTTTCTAAATTTTCATGTTTTGTTAGCACAGGTCTTTTCCTAACTTTTTTCTGGGAATAAGTGGAATTTGAAATTCTTAACTTTATTCTCACTTCACAGATAGGCTGGACCAAAGGTTTTGGTAATTGATACTAACTTTACACATTACATATAAATATACATGCGAAATGATTTTAAGAAATTGTCAGATCAATACTCTATCTGTAGGGCCTTATCTGAAAAACTCAGCACACTCATCAGAACTCCCTTAGCTACTGCTTAATTAGTTTCCAACATGCCTTGATATTATAATACTGTACCCATTAAAAAAACCCAAAACAATTAACCAAAAATACCGAAAAAAAGCACAAAGAAACCCCCACTTTTCCTCCCCCTTGCTACTTTTCTTTCAAAAAGAAATCCAAGCAAAAAGCCTTCCCATCTTTCTTCATGGAAACAAAGAAATCCAGAATGCTCATGTATATCTAACAAAACCCAACTGCCTTTTGAAGATAATCTTCTTCAAATGATACTAACTTTATAAAACTTGGCTGATAGTCATAACAAAGCATTTTGTAGGAAAATAATCAATAAAATATAAGCCCAGAAAAACACACAATGTTTCATGATGCAATTCTGTACACACAGTACAATACAGCTCCCCTAACAGATGAAAAAAGCCTCAAAACAACTTGAGCAAAACAGGTCGCATATGGAATACAAGTAGCTTTTGATAGTCTGAGGTTTAGGTTTTGTTTCATCAAACTAAACATTGGAAAGATTATTCCGCATGCTCGTGAAGTAAGTGAACTACAACATGAGTAATTTTTTCAGTGAAAAGTACATATTGTAGTGGAACCGTCCATAGCATTACATACACTGAAATAGAACACCAAGATGGCAACAAAAGAAAGAAACCCAAAATTGCACCATAAGACCAAAATATCTAAGTAGAAAGTTCCCAAAATACTTTTCCTTCTGTCGCTATGCTAGCACCATTGTTTTCTGGTCTAAATACATTCAGGGAAATTCTGAAAGGGTTTATTCTTATTTTGCTTCCCCAGGTTATTTTCACAACAAGGAGAAATATTTATGCAGAAAGTAGATTACCAACACACTGAAAAAAGGTGCAACACAGAGGAGCGATCGGTCATCCAAATAGCTAAAACTTTCACTCAGGCTCCCACTCCCCTTTAACTCGATTACTGCCATACCAATCAGACTTCTTTGTCAAAGCCCTTCACTACCTGCCTTTACCACCACCTGCATCTCCCAATCACCACAGACATGCTGACCTGCCAGTGTTAACTACACAGAGCCCATCCTCTAGGTTTTTAAAACAGTCTGGGGACTTCTCCCATGTTTTTTTGCTCTTTAAGAGGTATTTCCTTAAAAATTCCACAAAGCTGCCCTGGTATCATCTTTCTTTAAAATCAGGTTTGGTTTTGTTTTTTTTTTTTTTACCGTAGTACTTCTTGAAAACTCAAGAGGAGGTGCTCAGAAAAGTAATATCATTGCCAGGGTCGTTGACTAAGAATCAGCTCAGTCAATCCAATTGTGAGCTGTCACTGCCCCTGAGCCAACACTGGTTTTCAGCTGATACAATGGTAAGCAAATGTAGGGTATTAAATAAATAAAATAAACATAAAAAACCTACCACAAACAAACCCAAAATCTCCCATGTCCCTAATTAAGTAGAGGTTTTGACAACTCAAGTAACTTAACTAGCTCAGTCTGGATTCAAATTATCATTTAAGGAATCTGAATGTGTACAAGTCCATGGGACCTGGTGAGATACATCACTGACAAAGAAGGGAAGGGAAAATAAAAATTGATTAAAGGAATTAACTATCATGTTATCATGTGTTGCACAGTTACATTATAGAATTAACTCACGAGAACATAAAACATTGCCAGAGATATGATACTTTAAAATATTTTGGAAAATATACCATGTGCTTCATCGGAAAGTTCTCTTAAACACACAGGTAAAAAAAACTGGGCACAGATGACACAAATTATCTCACCTTTCCCCTCCAGCCCCCAATTTTGCCATGGTATTCCCAGCTCACAAGTGTTTAGAGGAGACTTTTCAAAAAGCAAGAAATTGGACTAGGTCTCTACATCGTATACTTTGAGGACAATTCCTGCATTTTTGGGAGGTGGGGGAGTGCATTGTCCTGACTTTGGCTGGGATAGAGTTAATTCTTATAAGAATGGTACGATGCTGCATTTTGACTTTCCTATGAGAATAATGTTGGTAATACACTGATATTTAGTTGTTGCTAAGTAGTGTTTACCCTAAGTCAAGGACTTTTCCATTTCCCATGGTCCACCAAAGAGTAGGTGCACAAAAAGCTCAGAGAGAGTGTGACCAGGACAGCTGACCTGAACTGGCCACAGGGATATTCCATACCACAGAACATCAGTATATGAACTGCTGGGAGCTGGCCTGGAGGACGGGCTGGGCATCAGTCAGTGGTGGTGAGCAGCCCTATTGTGCATCCCTTTGTTTCTCTTGGGCTTCATTCCTCTCTCTCCTTTTCATTACAATTATCATCGTCATTAGCCTTAACAGCATTACTATTGTATTTTACTTTGGTTTAATTATTGAACTGTTCTTTCCTCAACCCACAAGTTTTACTTTCTTTTTTCCCCACCCCCATCCCGCCTCGACTCCCCTCCCCATCCCCGCGGGCAAGGAAGGAGGGAATGAGCGGCTTCTTGGTACTTAGTTGCCTGATGGGGTTAAACCACCGGCAGGTTGCAACTCATGTAAAGCTTCGTTTATAAATTTGCAACTAATTAGTATGTACGTTTTATAATCAATATTCACAAACATTTCCGTCTGCCACAGCGAAAATAAAATTATCATTCATCAGTCATATAACATTTATATTCATGAGCATAAGTAAATATTTAGATTTCAGTGTGAGGGCTAGAGGCATCCACTCTGTAACTACATGGGCTGTCCCTCAGGTGCACTCAGCTCACTTTTCTGAAGCATACAAAAGCAAACACACACTGTAGTTCTGTTAACGCGTGTATTTTATATACTACAGCAATACACCATAGCAGCAGACAACACTGCAAAATTAAAAAACAGCAGAATACCTAACCCTCTGTGCTTTCCTTAAGCCAAGCCTTTAATTTAAAATATTCTCATCTACAAAAGGCAAAAATAGCCCAAATGACAAGAAAGTCCAGGAAGCAAAACTCCACGACTAGGAAGAGACTATTTGCATAAGTATTTATACATACTGAAAACTAACTGCTTTTAACTTTCTTTTTAGCTTTAACAAAGCTGATAGAAAAAGAACATTACCCACAAACTTATGGTCATGTGCTGCTAAGAAAAAAAGAACATCTAATTGAAAAACCCATAGGATTCTAGGTCACTTTCGAGATGTTCAATTTAAAAACAATACATATTTTTACAAAAAACCGCATGGTTTTCAACTTCATTGGGTCTTACATAGACAGCAATTATGACACCTACAGTGATGATGAAACAGTAAATCTGAGGACAGCAAGGAATTGTTAGATTACACATGCATCCACTACGTTTTATAGGTCTTACTTTAAATAATTCTTGATATTGAGAAAGTGAATACGAGATGAAATGTGTCATTTGTGAACTCCCCAGGTAGAGACTCATCTTACAAGGAACAGGAGAAAAGCCACTGCTGGAACAAGAGATTCCCGTGTTGCACTAGCACTGGATAGGCACAGGAACCACGCTCAAGGACCACAGGGTCAAAGTGCCAACACTGTCCGGCCCAAGGTGCTTCTCTGTCATGCCACCGCCAGCAACCACCACGCCCGACCAATAACACGTTTTTACAAATGCTGGCAAGGCAAAAAAGTTCGCAGATCACACAGAACCTCGCCCAAAGGTATTCACAGTCGATACACGGAGAAGGAATAAAAATGAACTTCAAAATGACCTCAGTGACAATGCCTTGGCCAGGCCCCCTCCCACAGGCGGGCACTGACCCCTCTCGCCCTCCCTCCCTGCCCAGCGGCCCCCACGGCGCACCACGCGCTGTGACGGCGCGCGCAGCACCGAAGGCACGCCGGCTGCGTCCAGGGCGGCGCCCGCCGCCATCCGAGGCGCTCCGCCGCCGAAGCACGGGAGCGGCGCGAGGGAGGGAACGAAGGAGGCGACCGCCCACTGCCCCCCGAGGCCGCAGAGAGAGCGCAGCGGCAGCGAGAAGCATAAGAAGGGCGGCAGGAATAGGTCGGGCCCGCATCCCGGGCTCGCTTCCCTGACGCGCTCACCACCGATCATGGCGGCAATGTGGAAAGCGGGGCGCTTAACGCGCGCGCACGGCCGCCGCGCCCTCCTCGCTCGACGCTTTTCTCGGCAAGCCGACCGGTGAGTCCGGCGAGACGCGGGCGTGCGTGGCGGCGCGGACATGCGCACGTGCCTCCGTGCAAGCGCCGCGCGAGGCCCCTGGGTAACGTAGTTTCTCCACTTCACACGCCCCTGCTCTGCCACATGATCGCGCCTCCTCCACCGCCCCCTACCACCCACCACCTCGCTAATGACTTTCTCCGATTGCCGTCGTCGCCTCGGTCTTCGGCGGTACCGAGCAGGCACACAGCCGGGCGGGGGCGCTGGTCTCTCTCCAGCTCCCTTACAGCGGGCCTTCCGGCGGGTGGACCGCGTTGCCTGCATACGGCGCGTGTCCGGGGACCCGCCGGCGGCCGTGCCAACCGGACCCGTGAGGCGAGGACCTGAGGCCCGCAGCGGCGGGGCACAGGGCCCGGCGGGGGGGGACAAGTCCCCGGTGGGACAAGGACAGTCAGGTGGTGATGAAGGCTTGGACACGGTGGCGTCAGGGGGACTGGGATGATGCAGAAGGGGTCCTGGAGGGGGAAGGAAGGCGCGAGAGGGGTGTGTGGGGGGGATATCGCTGATCCTGAAGAGAGCGGAGTTAGAGCTGCCGCCGCCTTCTCACTGGCTGGGCACGGGGCGCTGATGTTCGCTTGTTTGTTCCAGTCCGTATTTCTCCTCTGGTCCGTCGCGGGCGCCGGTGGGGAGATGGTAGTGGACAAGGCGGGCTCCGGCCCCTCGAAGCCCGCAGGTGACAGGTGCCCCCGGCAGCGGGAGAAGAAGAACAAGGAGCAGGCCTGCGACGGATTCACTATTAGAGCCATGATGAAAAACAGCGTGGTACGTTTGCTGCTAGCATAGAGGCGACATTAATTAGCTTACCTTAACGTGTCCAAAAAGCACAGCCAGTTAGAGCTGAGCAAAAAGCATGTCAGGAAGGTGTGCAAGTTATAGTAATACCTTGTCTGGGTTATGCTGGTTGCTGAAATTACGTTCAGAATTTACAGAAGTATTATCAGAAGATAACTGTGCCTGTGGTAATTGTGATGCTTCAACTACCAAGTGCATTGCTTTGGTGCCATCCTATTAAACTGCTAGCCATTGGGCTTGCGTGCAAGGCTCAATGCCTTGCATTTATCAATATGCTGTGAAGTGCTACTGCAGAAATACTCGAAAGTGTTTCCATACACTGGTACAATGTGGTAAAAGTTTGATGTGAATGTTACATGGGATGGCAAAGATCTGGAAAATACACTAGTTTTTAAAATAGGCTTGAAAAATAATAAAAAACTTCCACACCGTGTAGGATAATACTAAACTGGAAACAAACATTAGTTCTCCAACTCATAGTTCAAAGACAAAGAGGAGTTGATCCAGTGTGCTTTATTTTAAGTTAACAGTCACAATTTCTAACAAATTTAGAGGTTTGCGAGTTAAAATATTAGTATAAAATTGTTTTATATTGTTCTATTTGTTTACCTTCAGAATTTAGGAATAAAAAACCTTCAACTAATACAGAATGCAGATGTTCAGCATGTAAGCAGATGAAGTAATATGCACATACATCTGTGCTTAAACTCTTGAATTGTCTTTTTCTTTATTTGGACACTGTTCAAGGTGTTAGCAAAGTCTTGAGTTCTCAAGGGATTTTTTGGAATCGATATACTATTCCAACAGAAATTAAGAAATACATTATTTACTATTCCAACAGAAATTAAGAAATACATTATTTCCCTTTTGCTGAAGTGGTCTTCTTGGAGCAGTCTCTCTGGTCTTGTTATCCGTAAGAGCATTCTCTTAGAAACCCAAACAAGTCCATCTTTAAACAAATTTTAAGTAAAAATTGTGTATTTAAAGAACTTTCTCCCATTAGTAAGACTAAAATATGTTTCACCTTAGTTGGAAAAACACAAGGCGAACACAACAGCAAAACTCCTTTGTTTTAAAGATTGTTTGGTTTGTTTTTTATTCTAGGGATTAATGGAATAGACCATAATACTTCAGCAACTTTAAGGATTAATTTTTAAAAGATGTTTCCTCTTCTCTGAACAAAATTCAAGTAATAGATATTAGCACATATTTGTTTTCACCTTGATATGTAAAAGACACTTAATTTTGTCTAGGAGAATCAGCAGTTTCAATGGAGTTGGAGAAATATATATTTAATTTTTTAAAAGGATCTGTGGCTTGTGAACATAACTAGCTATGAGTTTAATCAGAATGTAGGTTTCCTTTTAAATATTTATAGAGTATTAACTTTTATGGCTGCATTTCTAACTTCCTAAACATGAGCAGAAGGTTAATTCACGGGTAAAGTGGCTGCCTTTGGAGCTACTTGTTGAATCACAGAAGTTACTTTCTTTGGCAAGGACCTCTGTAGATCATCTAACCCAACTTCCCATTCGAAGTGGGCCTGTCACTACCACTAGACCAGGTCAGTCATGGGTTTTCCTCACTAAGCTGTGAAACCTGCCAACTTCAGAGATTCCCTGACCTCTCTGGGCCATCTCTGCCTTGTCCACCTGCCCCCCACCTGCCCCCTTGGCCTTTTCAGAGATCAAGTTTGCAGTGTTCTGACCTGCTGCACAGGCTCTGCTCATAACTGGGTAGGCAGCAGTGAAACTGTTAGCCCTGACACTACAAATCTCCCAGGACCGCTATGTTTTCCAAAGCTCCAAGTGAGGATAGGCAGCCACCGGAATCATTTCCAGTCAATGTGCAGAAAAAATCAGTGTAGAGTAAGGAATATCTCTGTCGCTGCCACTCTGTCTGTGCAAAAGTCTGTGTTCCTCTTCTCTTTTCCAACAACTGGTTAAATGGAGCTTCAGATTTATTAAGTGCTCACATGTCAGAGGTTGACATCATTGATAAAGTTCTCATGGAAGGCTTAGGAGTTGACTGGAAGGTTGAAAGCACAGCAGGAAAATATAGTTAGGACATGGTGATTCTTTTCGTTAGCAGCATGACAAGGCATAGGGTTGTCAGCAAACGTGTTTGGCATCTCCAGGTCAAACAACAAGGTACTAATTAATAGCTTTGGTGCAAGCGTGCAGTTAGTCTTAAACTCTTAGTGTGGAGTCTAAACAGGTTACCATTATACATATATGAATGTAAATGTTCTAGTAAAGGTTCCAGAATTCTTTGATGTTGCTTTTGCAGTGTTTTATTAAGCTGTTTTTCATGAAAGTTGCTGCTTTTACAATCAGTAGTAAGTGCAGAAATTAAGTGCTTCCAATACTGAAGACTTGTCTCAGCTCTCACTAAATCTAAAATTTGCTTATTGAAATACAGTACTTAATAAATATTCACAAAAAATATTCCTGAAGAAAGTGTTTAAGTTATTCCAAAACTGTAAATTTATATAGTGGTTGAGGTTAAGAGCAAGATTCAATAAAAGTCCTCTACAGTAACAAGATTCAGTAAAGGTCTTCTACTAACAAGCTAGGTATTGTGACATTTACATTTTAATTGTTCTGTCCTCCAAGTAGAATCAAGAATGCCAAGTTATGTACTGATAGCTCACAGGTACTGCATGTAGAATTAGGAATAAAATTAAAAATTAATATATAGACTGGCAAGTAGGAAGATGTCTGAACGTGAATGTGGGCAGCAGGGAGATATTTCTCTTCCCTTCTGATCCTCTCCAGATGATATTTTTCCTATTTTTTGCAACTGTACATAAGAGAATAAAGTGTTAGTGTCCCTATTTTCTGTAATGTACTAGTGATAAAAGCACTTTTTCAAGGATAGGATTCATTCTGTTACTCGAAGAAAACTGTAGAAAGGGAATTCCAGTCTATCTGCCACTTTTTAACAGATTCTTAACCAAGAATTGATAAGATTACTGAGGTGGAAAAATCTACACAGAGGGAAAAATCTGCATGTCTTTTCGAAGTGCTGTTACCATGCAGCAGAGAGTTAGGATTCATAGGGCTAGAAAGTGGCAAGGTAGGAAACTCACTAGGCAATATATTTTAGTGCATATGTAATTCCTGCAGGAGTTTTGAAAACTTTGTCCTTTGGAATTTTATGTCCATCATTGCTTGCTAGAATGGACGTGATGATATGGAGTGGAATTGGAACTTAAGTCACCCCTCCTGAGTTCTGAGCCCATAGCCCATAAAGCTATGAAAGATTGTTCTTTCTTTTTTTCTTTCTTTTTTTTTCTTTGTTTTCTGTTTTACCTGAACCTTGAATTCCTTACTGCAAAACAGCAGAACTTCAGCAGGAAAGGTGGAGTTTATCTTTCCTCTACAGGTCCTCTGTTAATAACACTTTTACCATGTAAGTTGAAGTATCCTTCTGTAGCATGTGAATTTGAACTCCTCTGGCCAGAGTACTGAGTTTGGATTTTCTACCCATCTTAGAGTATAAACCAGCAGATTTTATATGAAAAATATTACTATTACATTAATCTGTATTCCATTAAATCAGTCAGAAACTGCCACTAGGAATAGGCCACAGGGATAGAGTGAAATTGTCTACTAGATGGCCTTAGAAAGGAAGTAATGCTAAGAATTACTGTATTTCTGCAATGCTAAGAATTACTGTGTTTTTAAAACCAAAGCAGCTGTTCAATCTATGAGAGTCTTAGCTATGTGCCAGAGCCCAGCTTTCATCTCCTGAAAGAAGTATAACTGCTCATAAGCAGAAAAATGGTTATTTGGATTGCAGTTCTGGATTTTCATTCTTCTATTCCTCATTTAGGAGTCTATGGTCTGTATGTATTGAGATGAGTTCTTAGTCTTTGTTGTTTAAACTCTTTCAAGCCATGATCAGTAATGTGTGTTGTGAAGGGCTTTTTTACACTTTACCATTTGATAATAACTCATAGCAAGAGTTTAATTTTAACCATAGAGAAAATGTGATTTATTTACATTCTGAAACTTTTAATTTGACATTCTATTTATAGTCATCCACAGGTGTAACTGAAACTGCTTTATTTACCTTGTAGCAGTAAAAGTTTCTAATCTGATTTTGAGGCTGTAGGAAAGAATTGTTTATAAGAAAGAAGTATCTTTCAATTATAATAGCTAATTTATTGGAAAAGGCAGTGTGTTTTGGCATAAATAGATGTCAAGTTAAAGGAATGTTTTGATCAATGTTTATCAAGAAGTTAGCACCTCCATTTGGAGGAACTGCTCCAGTTTAACAATAGTAATTGCGTACAATCTACAAGTATACTTCAGTCAACAGTGAGACAATTTAAACTGTCACTGCTCTGGAAAGCAGTTCTATCTTCTTCCTCTTTCAGTCTGTTTGGTACTGCTGCCCCTTATTGTGTCCACATTTGTACAATGTTGGCTGCTCAGGGAACTGATCCTGCTGAAAAATACTCCAGCCTGTTGAAGCTAACAGCATTGAACTGCAGTCTTTGGGATTTAGGCAAGCAAAGCTTCTGCTTCCACGAACCTCATCTGTTTTGCCCTTCTCTCTCTCTCCTGACTGCATTCTTCCATCTCCCCTTTTCCACTGGCATTGTTTGTCCTTCAAATACAGAGAAGGTTGGCTCAGTTCTAACAGCTCTTAAATTAACATATGCAAGGAGAAGGGAAGCAGGAAGATGTCAATCCAAGTTGTGTGGGTGGGGAGTGTACCTTGGCAACATCGTGGTCTTAATTCATTTAAAACCAATTATGAAATTGAGTTCTAGCAGAGTAATTCCACAAGCATTTAAAGCAGCATAAAATTGTACCACAATTGAAAGGCGTGGTCTTTGTCCCTGGGCATTTATTCTTTGTACAGTATGAGGTTTTGCATGGCCTTGCAGTGGGGCCCTGGTTAAACCTGGATTAAAAACAGCTCAGCACCTTTTTTTTCTATCTCAGTGCAGCCTTGAC